ACTGTTATGAGCTGACATATGATGGTTACACAGGAACCAAAAGGTACACTGCCAACAAGGAAATGCTACACAGGATTAAATTTGCTGCCACCATCTGCCTTTGACCATTGAGACAATATCAAGCAACGAGGCAAGAAACATTGCTTGACTTGGAGAGTACTTTCTATGACTGTCATTAATTATGAAAACGGTTGTCAGCCACTATATCCAAAAGGCTAAGAGGATTCAACAATTGACACAGACGGGAAATTTAACATGAGTTTATTGAGACCAAAATTATGTCAATCACCACTTATAAATCCTACTCTAACACTGGCAAAAATTTAAGAAATTTAGACATGGAACAAAACCTCAGAGATCACACACATTACCTTAAGACCTCTGTCTCTCCCTGGCTGAGATGTTCTTCACAGACCCGCTCTCGATCCTGGTGTCCCGCACTCTCTCCCAACTAAGTCTCTACAGGACCTCTATATACAACCCCCACAGGGGGGAGGGGGGGGGGGAATCTGCTGTTGCTACCTACACCAAGAATGTAAGAAGTCGGCCACTCGTGCACAAACACTTAAAAATATTTCAATTAAGCTTGTTTGACATTCACCATACACTCTTCAAGAGAGGAGTTATTAATTACGTGTGTGACTGACCTCTGACCTGGCCAATAGGGGGAGATCCATGGATGTTTACACATAAGAATCTCGAGTCTAATTCCATTGCAATGTTTGACAATAGTATCATGAAATATTACATGCTTGAAACTATGCTGACTAAGACTAACCCAGGAATTTTTTTAATCAACAAGATAATCCAGAGATAAGCTGAATCTAAAACAACAACAGCAGGAAATTTCTGCAAATTTTTCTGAAATCAGTGAATATATTAGTGCAAGAAATTTTAATTTGAATCATTTGTTTTGAAAATATTCAGGTGTGTGGCTGGCGGGCCGTGCCAAAAACGGTCGTGGGGGTGTAAATGTGGCACTAACACGGTGTTCTCGTCTGGATTATGACGGCATCGACCAGCCTATGTTCATCCCTGTTATTAATAACAGGGATGAACATGTTATTAATAACAGGGATGAACATGTTATTAATAACAGGGATGAACATGTTATTAATAACAGGGATGAACATGTTATTAATAACAGGGATGAACATGTTATTAATAACAGGGATGAACATGTTATTAATAACAGGGATGAACATGTTATTAATAACAGGGATGAACATGTTATTAATAACAGGGATGAACATGTTATTAATAACAGGGATGAACATGTTATTAATAACAGGGATGAACATGTTATTAATAACAGGGATGAACATGTTATTAATAACAGGGATGAACATGTTATTAATAACAGGGATGAACATGTTATTAATAACAGGGATGAACATGTTATTAATAACAGGAATGAACATGTTATTAATAAATGGACAGAGTTTTTTCACCCTGATGCCCTTGTTCACCTAGCAGTAAATAGGTACCAGGACGTTAGACAGCTGCTACGGGCAGCTTCCTGGGGATGTGTAACAAAAAGGAGGTTTGATCGAGGACCGGGCCGCGGTGACGCTAAACCCCGAAATCATCCCAAGAATCCCGCATCCAACCTGGTTGATGGGGTTCTGGGAGTTCTTCTACTCCCCAAGCCCGGCCCCGGCTCGAGGCCAAGACCATTCCCGCTGCCAAATTTGGGCGAGGCTAGCCCCTAGCGTCTGGCCTCCATCTTTGGACGGACAGAGACAGACAGTCTCTCAGACACACACTTCTAGTATAGATATACATCTTCTAGACACCCTTACAGAGGTTGAATCCATTATGTTACTGGACGGTCCGAGGCGTCTCCTTAGACCCTCGAGTTTTCTGAGACAAGATTGGTCTAAATGTCATCATTCAATTATGACGTCTGAGGAAAGTCTAATTTTGAGCCTCACGCCAGGAGGGCGATGAGGCTATTGTCTCATGCCACTCACGTGCAATTATTCCATTAGATTCCATTGCCATAATTTGCTCACACTATAAGTTTTTGTCTTCCTTTTTACTGAACGTAATAGTAGTAAGATCTGTATTATACTTTTATATCTTATTGCTTTACTCTTTATGGGAGTACTTTATTTTGACGCTTAATTAGCATTGTAAATGTATAAATGTTAACTACTTACAGGCCACCCCATGTGGCCACTCTTGCCACCCCCATGTGGCCACTCTTGCCACCCCCATGTGGCCACTCTTGCCACCCCCATGTGGCCACACTTGCCGCCCCCATGTGGCCACTCTTGCCACCCCCATGTGGCCACTCTTGCCACCCCCATGTGGCCACACTTGCCGCCCCCATGTGGCCACACTTGCCGCCCCCATGTGGCCACACTTGCCGCCAACATGTGGCTACACTTGCCGCCCTCCCCCCAATGTGGCCACACTTGCCGCCCCCCCCCAATGTGGCCACACTTGCCGCCCCCCCCTCACAATGTGGCCACACTTGCCGCCCCCCTCACAATGTGGCCACACTTGCCGCCCCCAATGTGGCCACACTTGCCGCCCCCCCCAATGTGGCCACACTTGCCGCCCCCCCCAATGTGGCCACACTTGCCGCCCCCATGTGGCTACACTTGCCGCCCTCCCCCCAATGTGGCCACACTTGCCGCCCCCCCCCAATGTGGCCACACTTGCCGCCCCCCTCACAATGTGGCCACACTTGCCGCCCCCCCCCCAATGTGGCCACACTTGCCGCCCCCCCCCCAATGTGGCCACACTTGCCGCCCCCCCCCCAATGTGGCCACACTTGCCACCCCTAATGTGGCCACACTTGCTGTAACATGCATAACCCCCCCCCCCCTTAGAGTTCACACCCAGGGAAGCCTTCTCCAAGAGGTCAGCCCAGATGACCTCCGGATTATCTTTTATGTTGATTAAAAAATTCCTGGGTTAGTCTTAGTCAGCATAGTTTCAAGTATGTAATATTTCATGATACTCTTGTCAAACATTGCAATGGAATTAGACTCCAGATTCTTATGTGTAAACATCCATGGATCTCCCTCTTTTGGCCAGGTCAGAGGTCAGTCACACACGTAATTAATAACTCCTCTCTTGAAGAGTGTGTGGTGAATGTCAAACAAGCTTAATTGAAATATTTTCAAGTGTTTGTGCACGTGTGGCCGACTTCTTACATTCTTGGTGTAGGTAGCAACAGCAGATCTCCCCCCCTTCCCCCCTGTGGGGGTTGTATATAGAGGTCCTGTAGAGACTTAGTTGAAGAGAGTGCGGGACACCAGGATCGAGAGCGGGTCTGTGAAGAACATCTCAGCCAGGGAGAGACAGAAGTCTTAAGGTAATGTGTGTGATCTCTGAGGTTTTGTTCCATGTCTAAATTTCTTAACTTTTGGCCAGTGTTAGAGTAGGATGTATAAGTGGTGATTAGCATAATTTTGGTTTCAATAAACATGTTAAAATTCCCGTCTGTGTCAATTGTTGAATCCTCTTAGCCTTTTGGAAATAGTGGCTGACAACCGTTTTCATAATTAATGACAGTCATAGAAAGTACTCTCCAAGTCAAGCAATGTTTCTTGCCTCGTTGCTTGACATAGTTTCAATGGTCAAAGGCAGATGGTGGCAGCGTATTTAATCCTGTGTAGCATTTCCTTGTTGGCAGTGTACCTTTTAGTTCCTGTGTAACCATCATATGTCAGCTCATAACAGTGTTACCAAGTGCAACCGATGGGGAAGTGTTACTCAGGATAAGTAGTGTTTACATTATTAGTTTAGTATCCATTATAGTGGTGTTCCATTATAGTGGTGTTCCATTATAGTGGTGTTCCATTATAGTGGTGTTCCATTATAGTGGTGTTCCATTATAGTGGTGTTCCATTATAGTGGTGTTCCATTATAGTGGTGTTCCATTATAGTGGTGTTCCATTATAGTGGTGTTCCATTATAGTGGTGTTCCATTATAGTGGTGTTCCATTATAGTGGTGTTCCATTAGAGTGGTGTTACATTAGAGTGGTGTTACATTGCCACCCCCAATGTGGCCACACTTGCCACCCCATGTGGCCACACTTGCCACCCCATGTGGCCACACTTGCCACCCCATGTGGCCACACTGGCACCTTGAGAAACATTCCTCAACACTGCCACTGGATGAGAAGTCACAGTGATGACGGTCAGGGACACACAAGAGCACCTACACCTCTTGTCACTTATGATGTAAACATTACACCTTGTCCTCTCGCCTAGTTCGTCGCATTTGTCTACATAATCGACCAATCCGTTAAAAATGCGACGTACTATGACGTTCTCTCTGCACCGGCCTGCACCTTGTCCTTGGCCCATCCGTCGTGGCTTGGCCAAGCACATCCGTCGTGGCTTGGAGAAAGGTCGAGTATAAATGCCAGAACACGGCCGGGATTGTGCCGTAAATAATATCGGAAGCCAAGAAGGTTAGATCATGTCCAAATTAAAGAGGGAGTTGGACGCCACATGCACCGCATTTATCCTCTTGCAGCTGTTTGTTTTGGTCCCTGTGTACTGAGGAGTCTTTGCCTTATACTTCCACTCCTCTGGAGGATAGGGTTGTTGTTGTTATAGATTCAGCTACTCGGAACAGGTTCCAAGTAGCACGGGTTATGGTGAGCCCAACTGGCTCAGGAGCGATGCTGTGTGGGAGGAGGAGGATAGGGGGAAAGGGGGACTTCCCGGTGGTGCCCGGGGCCGTCTCTCTCCCCTGTCCATTGGTCTATCCATCTTTCTATCGATCAATCCGTGTATTTATCCATCTATGCATCTATCCCATCTACTTATCTATCCAGATATGCATCCATCTGACTTTCTATCCACCCATCTGTGGATCCATTTCCATCCAACTACCCACCTATCTATCCATCTACTCTATCTACTCATTACCCATTTATCTATCCATCCACCATCTATCGTCCCTATCTTATAAACAAATATAATTTTCTAACGTGTTGGTACAGTCACCAGTGACGGGAACTTTGTCACAAAGTTCCCGGGGCAGCAAGAGACAAACAGGACAAAGTTCCCGAGGCAGCAAGAGACAAACAGAACAAAGTTCCCGAGGCAGCAAGAGACAAACAGGACAAAGTTCCCGGGGCAGCAAGAGACAAACAGGACAAAGTTCCCGAGGCAGCAAGAGACAAACAGAACAAAGTTCCCGAGGCAGCAAGAGACAAACAGGACAAAGTTCCCGAGGCAGCAAGAGACAAACAGGACAAAGTTCCCGGGGCAGCAAGAGACAAACAGGACAAAGTTCCCGAGGCAGCAAGAGACAAACAGGACAAAGTTCCCGAGGCAGCAAGAGACAAACAGGACAAAGTTCCCGAGGCAGCAAGAGACAAACAGGACAAAGTTCCCGGGGCAGCAAGAGACAAACAGGACAAAGTTCCCGAGGCAGCAAGAGACAAACAGGACAAAGTTCCCGAGGCAGCAAGAGACAAACAGGACAAAGTTCCCGAGGCAGCAAGAGACAAACAGGACAAAGTTCCCGGAGCAGCAAGAGACAAACAGGACAAAGTTCCCGGGGCAGCAAGAGACAAACAGAACAAAGTTCCCGGGGCAGCAAGAGACAAACAGGACAAAGTTCCCGAGGCAGCAAGAGACAAACAGGACAAAGTTCCCGGGGCAGCAAGAGACAAACAGGACAAAGTTCCCGAGGCAGCAAGAGACAAACAGGACAAAGTTCCCGGGGCAGCAAGAGACAAACAGGACAAAGTTCCCGGGGCAGCAAGAGACAAACAGGACAAAGTTCCCGGGGCAGCAAGAGACAAACAGGACAAAGTTCCCGGGGCAGCAAGAGACAAACAGGACAAAGTTCCCGGAGCAGCAAGAGACAAACAGGACAAAGTTCCCGAGGCAGCAAGAGACAAACAGGACAAAGTTCCCGAGGCAGCAAGAGACAAACAGGACAAAGTTCCCGAGGCAGCAAGAGACAAACAGGACAAAGTTCCCGAGGCAGCAAGAGACAAACAGGACAAAGTTCCCGAGGCAGCAAGAGACAAACAGGACAAAGTTCCCGGGGCAGCAAGAGACAAACAGGACAAAGTTCCCGGAGCAGCAAGAGACAAACAGGACAAAGTTCCCGGAGCAGCAAGAGACAAACAGGACAAAGTTCCCGAGGCAGCAAGAGACAAACAGGACAAAGTTCCCGAGGCAGCAAGAGACAAACAGGACAAAGTTCCCGAGGCAGCAAGAGACAAACAGGACAAAGTTCCCGAGGCAGCAAGAGACAAACAGGACAAAGTTCCCGAGGCAGCAAGAGACAAACAGGACAAAGTTCCCGGAGCAGCAAGAGACAAACAGGACAAAGTTCCCGGAGCAGCAAGAGACAAACAGGACAAAGTTCCCGAGGCAGCAAGAGACAAACAGGACAAAGTTCCCGGAGCAGCAAGAGACAAAACAGGACAAAGTTCCCGGGGCAGCAAGAGACAAACAGGACAAAGTTCCCGGAGCAGCAAGAGACAAACAGGACAAAGTTCCCGAGGCAGCAAGAGACAAACAGGACAAAGTTCCCGGAGCAGCAAGAGACAAACAGGACAAAGTTCCCGGAGCAGCAAGAGACAAACAGGACAAAGTTCCCGGGGCAGCAAGAGACAAACAGAACAAAGTTCCCGGAGCAGCAAGAGACAAACAGGACAAAGTTCCCGGAGCAGCAAGAGACAAACAGGACAAAGTTCCCGAGGCAGCAAGAGGCAAACAGGACAAAGTTCCCGAGGTAGGTTAAGTGAACAAATCTGAACCTCGTATGGAAACACAGAGTGTAACACAGCCCTTAGGAATGTGATCTGCATTTGTTTTTACAATCTGTAATCGCTCCTGGAGCGACGCCAAGGAGGAAGACTAACTTTGACAAGGACTCTCCTATTATTAAACCACTAGTAGCTAAAGTTTTGGGAGTTATACAATTCTCAGTAAACCATTGTTTGTTCTGGACTAATGTAAACTCCCTGTGAGTACAACGTGAAGCTTCGTCCACCTATATATATATATATATATATATATATATATATATATATATATATATATATATATATATATATATATATATATATATATATATATATATATATATAATGTTATTTATCATACATCTTGACTATCGGAAGCAGACACTGGATGAGACAGGCGCCAGGTTGTACGGGGAAGAGTTCGGACCTTACACGTGTGATTCTATTTTAATACAAACTTTGTTTCTTATCGTATGACACGGACCTCTGGTATTATATGGTTGTACGGCCATTTACAGCCTGATAGCACGTCCCTTTTACAACCTGATTGTACAGAAAGCCGGCGACTTGTCAAGCCCCCCCCCTCCTCTAATTGTTCCTGAAGATTTTATCCAGCTGGATTCTGAAGTGTCTTGACATTTACGGCATCGGCGGGTAGGCGGTTCCACGGGTTTATATCCCTATGAGTGAAAACAAAAAGCATCTCCTGTTTCCTGCCTGCTTGTTGAGCTGGAGGTGTCCTGTAGCATCATAATCAGGCTTTACTTTAAGAATATAATCAACAGCACTTCTGACAATGTGCATTTTCTTCCAGGGGTGTGGGGGAGGAGGGTACAAAGTGTTGTGTGTTGAGGGGTACACAAGGCTGAGAGTCGTGCGTAGCGTGACCGGACTGGTGACCTCTGGTGGTCGGAACCAGGCAACACTCCCCCCCCCCCTCCCGGGTGGAGAAGAGGTTAAGGGAGCATGGCTGACCCTCCCTGAGCAGGCGCGCAAGGTGAGAGAAGACATTATCGGCGGCTTAAAGTGGATGCTGGTGTCGGTAAGGAGCACAAACGAGGTCTTGAAACTTTCGGGAAGTGTCACAACCCATAACAATAGCTGTTGTGGCTGGAGAAGTTCAGATTCATGAAGATTACAGAGGAAAGTACTCGTTTGGTAAGGGAGAAACTTGCTTGCAACCCCAGCAAGCACCTAGTTGTGCTTGCAGGGGTTGAGCTTTGGCTCTTTCACTCCCGCCTGGTGTACAAATTCCTGAGCCTACTGGACTCCATCATATCTACATTTGAAACTGTATGGAGTCAGCCTCCACCCTTCAGTGAAGGTACGACGAAACCTCGTCCCTTTGTCGTGTTGGACGTCTCAAAAACTTGTTCGTTTACGGCCACTATAGGTAGATCACTGTATATAATGTTACTTAGGTACACGCCCAAGGGTTGCCAAATTTGTCAAGCAGATCGTCGAGGACGCCGATGATAGCGTGCCGAGCGGTGTTGAACGCCAGTTAGTCGCCCATGGACATACACATAGGGTGACCTAATACCCTCTTAAGCTAAACAACTTAATAGGTATCAGCAACGTTGTCAGCAGATTTGAATGCAATCTGCTCTGCGCCTGCAGCCCTCAGACCTTCAGAGACAGCCTGGGCATCGGAGCGTCTACACGCGCTCCCTTACACACTCTAGCTAGCTCCTGGCCCGGTGTACAAGATGTATATATTTTTATAATAAACTAAGGAAAAGCAGTGGACGTTTGGTACTCCAATTCTTGCCCACTACCGAGTAAACTCCAGACCATCCTAATCATTCTATAACAACGACAACCGGGTTTACAGTCGTCCCTTCAATTTCTAGTGTGTCGTTTGGTCAACAGGAACCACATCGTGAAGCGATGAAGCAGGGCAGCCACCGGCAGCCCTGCTTGCCCGTCTGTAACAGCCGGGGGGGAGGGGGGGGGGGGGTTGCAAAACCTCACCTGAACAACAAGTCCGTCCCCCCCCCCTCCCTGTCTCCAGTCGCACCACTCCCCTGGCTCCCCCCCCCTTCCCCCTCATCCGACTTGTAAACAAGGAGGAGAAGTGAACAAGCAGACCCTCCTCCAGTCGTGACCAGCCACGGTGGGGTTGATCAGTACACACACACACACACACACACACACACACACACACACACACACACACACACACACACACACACACACACACACACACACACACACACACACACCCACCCACCTCAACACCCGGGAGATGATGCCAGCTTTCCTGTTATAAAGAACAGTGTTTGGTTTTCTTCAAGGTTCGCCACCTGGTCCAACTTCGTAGACAACCAAAAGTTGGCAGCCACAACACGAGGCGGTCAAGGAGCCTGGTTGTGCCGTGTTCAAGAACAAGGCTCCGTCAGCGACCATTCCCGGACACGGCGCTGTAGGCGACATCCAGTCACGCCATCACTCTTGGCTCCACCTTCATCTCCTATATATTAAAAA